GGCCCATGGCACAACTGCACAGCTGGAGACAGTGGCTATTGTTAAAAGTGAAATGGTTTCGGGTGAGTGTAATTTGCAATAACTGTATTATTTCTTTATCTGGTCTGGATGGCTCTGGGTGTTTATTGAAGATGTTTTGGGTTAGGGTTCATTGTCAATGGAGCGATCCTATGTTGAAAAATGAGTCACACCCAGAATGGACTTTTCAAAAAGTGTGTAGGAGCACTTTGGAGCCATTTGGAGTGGATCTGAACGTGTTTGTATGTTGACTTTTTCTGACTGCCCTTAGGGTTGCAGTAGGGTAATAGGCTGTTAACCATGCTCACCGCCTGGTGATCCTGGTGATCGTGAATAGCTTTGTCTGTGTTTGTGCTAGAGTGATGGAACCGGTGTGTATCCCCCATTATTAAGCATGCTCTTTCCATTGGTGCCGGTCTCAAGTGGGTGGGACTTGTGGTTCGAAAGTTACGCCCATTTTGATACGGTTTTGTAGCTCTGGCGTGTTCAGCGAGGTCGAATTATGGAGGAAGGAGCCCGTTTCCAAGCATCTAGGAGGTTGGGTTCCGGAGTTGTCAAGCCCAGGGGGCGCCCATTCGTTGTCAATGGAGCGACCCTATGTTGGAAAATGACAAAGTGTCACACCCGGTATGAACTTTTCAGAAGGTGTCTAGGAGCACATTTGAGGCCATTTGGAGTGGATTGGAACAGGTTTCTGAGGTCTGAGGTTGTTGGTTGGGCTCAGGCAAGTGTGGGAGTAGTTAGGTTGAGGGTAAGGCTAACTGGGAAAGGCGTTAGTTTGAGTGATATGTCTACACTGTGGCCAGCCCCAGGGTTAGGATAGAGAAAGTGGATGAGTCTTTGTCATTGTGAGTCGGTGTCGAGCTCCATGCACGGGCCATCCTGCTCCAGGTCGGGAAAGCTCTTATTTATGGTTGAGGCCTTTGGGGTGTATTGTTTCTAACTTTCTTATCCATGCCCTTTCTGCTTGGGTCCTCTGTGTGGCGTTCCAGCTGGGGTCCATCTTGATGATCGTGGCCCAGACAGACGACCATCCATGGGCCAGAAAATGGCTGCCAAGAGGTGTGTGGGTTTCCCTCTGTCTCTGGATGTTATAGCGGTGTTGGGTGAACCGCTGTAAGAGTGTGTTTTTGGTTTCACCAACATACTGTAAACCTCAAGAGCGACATGAAATAAGATACACAGTTTTTGGAGTGGGGATTTCCCCAAGCCATAGTCCTATGGACTGTTTTATTAAAATGGCTGCGTATCCACGTGGCATGTTTAAAAAATTGGCCGTCGCCTCTGGGTTTTGAGGTCGTTAGGGGCTTAATTTTGGCTGCCACCAGATAGTCCTGGAGGTTTTTGTTTTTCCTAAAGGCTGCTATGAATCTATGGTTCTTTAGGTGTCCTGTATCAATGATTTTTTGATGGAAATTGTCTCTTTTCTGCACAGGGTGATTGCCGGCCTGGAATAGGTGGTAACGAAGGGGAGTACATCCGTTGTGTCCACTGGTCTTGTTTCCAGGAAGGTGTGGAGGGCCTTCCGCTGGAAGGAGCGTACATTGCCCCTGGTGGCGAGGGCTCTGAAGAGCGTTTTTGTGGCCCCCATGAAGTCACTTTTGTGTGTGCAGATACGGTGAAACCGGAGTAATTGTGATTTCAGTAGGCCCCTGTATGTATGTTTAGGGTGGTGAATGGTCTTATAAAGCATGGGTGTCTGTTTCTTTGAAGAAAACTTTAATGTCTAATTTGTTTGTGTGTTGGAAATTTCTCCCTTTGTAGGTGGTGGTATCCAGGAAGTCCACCGACGTGGTGCTGGTGGTGGACTTCAGTGTGATGGATGGGTTGTGATTATTCAAGGTAAGTACAAATTGGTCAAATTCTTCCATAGAGTGGGGCCAGACCCCCCAGATGTCATCCAGATATCTATAGTAATGTAATGACTTTTTGTTGCAATCTGATTTGTGGGTAAAGGGGGTGAAAGTCATATCTTTTTTGTTTTGGAAATATACATGGAGCTTGATTCTCCTATGATATTGCTGTAAATCCCATCTACTCTGCTCAATGATGTTGCTCTGACTTCCCCTAGTGGGGATGAAAGAGAGGCCCCTGTCCAGGAGTGTGAACTGGGCCTGGGTTAATTTGAATGTCTGTGATAACACCAGTACATTTTTTGACCCCACCTGAGAATGCAGGCTTATGGGGATGAGCATTTTAAATACCCTGTCCAATGGTCAAACATGTGTTTGGCGGTGGCCTTTGTCCAGTGTATGTTGTCTCTGCCAGTTTCAAAGGATTTGGAGGGCAATCTGGGGATGAAGAGGCAGTTTTTCTGGATATGTGCGCTGAGGTGGACCAGGCAGGACTGCTCTTTGAGAGGTAAGTGACGGGAATAATTGATTAAGGGCACCCAAACTGCCGCTTGAGGGAATTTAGCCTCAGCTGCCTCCACTGTGGCTAATAGCTGCTGTGTCAGGATTGTTTTGGATGCAGCGTTTCTATTGTTTATACCAAAAGAGAGGACCAATTTCTCTAATTTGGTGGAGGTGGTAGCCTTATCAATTAGCATCTTAGCATGTGCTAATGTAGCTCCTGGGTAGCTGTCAACTTGTAGGTTGGTGCTTTCAAATGGAGGCATTATGGCTAAGTTAGAGTCTCCAATGAAGGCCCACTCTTTACCAATGCTAAGGCCCCAATCCTGCATTTTATTTTGTGTATTGATGTGTTTTGTAGGTCTCCTGGTATTGGGCAGTGGCACTGGGGTCCGCACCACCGGTCTAGGCCGCAGCGTGAGTCTGCTCTGGGTTGCTCTTCTAAGAATCCTAAATTTGACTGGAGTGGATTGGGTGGTGGAGACCTCCATAGA